CAAACTTGCCGATGGCACCGATGAGGACGCCCTCACCGCTCAGTGGATGGTGCTAACACAAGCAGCCCGACACGCTTATCATGCAACCACGACGCACCCATCACCTTCGGCTGCCCCGACAGCACCTACGACTACTCCTTCTTCGCGCACCGACAAGGACATCGTTCCCAAAACACTCCCAGCGGGCGTCTACAACAAGCTCGTCGAGGACTATAATAGCATCACGGTTGACGGAGAACGACGACAGTTCCCCGAGAAGAACCTCGTGGGCGCAGAAAAGGTTCTAGCGCGGATGTACCACGAACATCACACATCGAAGATGTATACCGCCACGGCCTTGGGGGAAATCGTATCACAACGAATCTGGACGAGTTTCAACACGATCAACTCGACCAGGAAGAAGGACACCAACGAGAAGAAATTGGTACTCGATGAACGCAACAATATCACCGAGAAATCACACGAAGAATGGGATGTTCGAGGACAATGGATGCTCATCGACGCCATCGAGGCAATCCGATGGGCATGGATTCTCATCAAGTATTCCTCCGAGACTGTCATCAACAAATACGTCGACTGGTTCATCCGATTGGTCCGCAAACATTCACAACGCATCAACAACGTCAAGAGCCTCTGGGAGGAGTTCTCTTGGGACATCGCCATGCGGATGCGCTCTAACGAGACCTTCCAGATGATCACCGAGGACCTCATGAACGATCTCACACGAGTCAACGACGTCATGCAACAACCGCTATTCAAGCGACCTCGAGTCGGCAAAGGCTCCGAACAATCTTACAAAGGCAAAGGGAAAGGATACCAACAGAAGTGGTCGCCCCCTGGACAAGGACGCCGATACCGACAACCCTGGACGACAACGACGACTCAGTGGCGATCCTGGCAGCCGCCGACACAGACATGGAACACACCCGCGATGTCATCGTGGCAGACGTCGCCGACACAGTCCTGGACTTCCTCGGCACCACCGAGCTTCCCTACACCGACACTCGCTCCGATGCTTCCTTTCAACCCTGCTCCACAAGTTTCACAACGACCCCCTTGGAACGCGAAAGGCGAGAAGGGCTCGAAAGGCGCCGGTAAGAAAGGCAAGGCCGGTAAGACCGGCAAGAAATAGGGACAGCGCGGCCCAGGGTCTACTGACCCTGGAGCCGACCATCGAGTGACGGAATCACACGACCGGGTCTGTACACTGTGCTACGAACTGGTCGGCACCTTGCCGGTGGTGCGCCTGTCCTTCTTCGATGGTATTGGGATCGCCTCCGAGGCACTTCGATGCATCAACGGGAATGTCATCATCACCCTCGCGTGGGAGATTGACAACGACTGCGCACAGTTCACATCGAGACGCTTCGGCTCCGTACAGATGGGAGACGTCGAGCAGTTCAACCTCAAGCCTCAAGACCGTGGTACAACATGTCGAAGCCGCGACGCAGAACTGGCAGTACATCATGGTGATCACAGCGGGTCCGCCATGTCCGGACTTCTCCAGCCTACGAAGCCAACCCAAGGGCTCCGATGGCACGTCAGGCTGGCTGTTCAGACACATGGTCAGCATCGAACATCAGCTCCGAAAACGCTTCACCGGCGTCCCGATCGAGACCATCTGCGAGAATGTGGTGCCTCACCCAGACGTACGAGACAACGTCGTGGAACTCACATCACCGATGAGTATGGATCCCGTCGTCATCGACGCCGCAGACTCCGGCATCATGCACCGCAAGCGACTGTGGTGGACTTCGATCCCTTGGAACATTATCGAAGAAAGACTGCCCCGTCTCACACCTTGGTCCCTCGATTGGCGACTCGACGGGGAATGGCACCGACTACACAACCCGATTGGCTCCGAACTACAGCCCCAGATCTCGGCACGGGGTTACTCCTTACCACCGTGCCTTCACAACGACAAGAAACTTTTTCATTGCTTGACTACGCCTTCAACATCGACGTTCGGACGAGAACCTCCCAGACAACTCCGCGACCGTTCCACGACACAAGACGCCTGGCACAGATGGGAACAAGACAATCGACGATACCCGGTGTGGCAGTACGAGAACCAGTTCATCGTTACGTTGCCCGATGGCTCTTGGACTACAGCTCCATCGTCATTACGCGAACAACTACAAGGCCTACCTCCGGATTACACAGCAGACCTCGGAACTGGCGACGAGACGAAACGTTGCACGGCACTGGGCAACGCTTGGCATCTTCCTACGGCGATCTGGATCATCTTCCTGCTCCTGTTGGGAACTGTCGACGCGTCCATACCCGATGCACCCCGAGTATCTCCATTACAACAGATTACTTCCTTATGGCTACACCATAAGGTGCCATTCGGCCCACCTCCTCGATCCCCAAACCACGACTACATGCCACAATTCTCTTGGACCGAACATCTCGACTGGGCCTTGCATAGGGAGACACACTTGTCACCGAAGACACTCGACCCCACGCTCGAGTGGTGCCTCCAACACCGACATGTGTTTCATCCACTCATGGAGTTTCAGAAGGCCATCATCGAGGACATCAGGGAGCTCGTCGACGACATGGAAGAACACACGATGGCATGGTTCAACACCCTTCCAGAACACGTGCAACGAGCATATCGCCACAAAGACTCGGTTACCCAAATACCTGTACTCGTTCACCTACTCCGAATGATACAATACCTACAAACCGAGTTGATCTACCGCGAACTCTCCGAAGGTTTTCCCCTTATGGGGAAGTTGACCCCTGGGATAAACTGGCACGTGAGACAAGACCAGAAGTACCTCGAACCAACGCCCATCGACGAGTTCAGCGAGAGAAACCGACAGTACATCACAGACAAGATCGACAAGAACTCCGTCGACGAACACTGGGAACTTATGCTGGATGAAATCTTGGCGGAGGTCGATATGGGAAGAATGAACGGACCTTTTCAAGCTCCGGAGTGGTGGCCTCGAGCCGCTACAGCACCACACAAAGGACGACATCGCACCCTTCTACCGCTGCCTCACTCCGACCCGTACATTGCCATGGCATTCAGCATCGAACAGACAGGCAGCGACGGCAACAACAAGGTCAGACGCGGTGAAGACTGGCGCCGAAGTGGACACAACGCGACATGCACGATGCACGACCAGCCCTACCATCACACACCTGATCATTTTATTTCCCTGGGACTCGCGACAATCCGACACGACCACCTCAGGCCTCTTTCTGTTTGGGGACATGACTACGATGGACAACTACCACTTCGAGACCCTCGAGAAGCCTACGTAATGCTGCTGACTCCGGATGGCCCGACCCTATGGAGCCACAACGTCCTTCTCTTCGGCTCGGCCGCAAGCGTCTGGTCGTATAACCGATTCGGCGACATTTTGGTCGCCTGTAGTCGCACCATGATCCTGTCCCGAGCGATGCATTACGTCGACGACTATGACTCCATGGAGGACTCCGACTTAGCCAAGGGCAGCTTCGAGTCGTTCGAGGAGTACAACGGATGTCTCCAAATCTCGATGAAACCCAGCAAACGACAACCACCTCAAACAGCACATCGGATCCAAGGCGTCATCATTTCCTCCGACAACAACGACCTGGTCCTCACTCCTTGTCCGAAGCGAGTTACGAACATGTGCAAGCAGATCGACATGCACTTGGCAACTTCGTCACTGTCCCCCGAACAAGCCAGGAAAATGGCTGGGAAGTGCAACTTCCTCACCGGACGACTATTCGGGAAAGTGGGCCACGCAGCTCTGAAAGCACTGTACGCCCGAGCCCACTCTCACTCACACGCACTCGATAAACCCACACGATCATCGCTACTTGCCCTCAAGGACATCATACAACATGGTCGACCGATGACGATACCACGCACACCGACCCGACCGCATTACAGCGTCATCTACACGGACGCCTACTTCCGACTCGGCTCTACCATCTACAAGCCGGGGGACAACGACATCCCGAGTTGGGACTCTAAATCAACATCCGACATCGAAAACGGATGGGCGGCAGTTTGCTTCCACCACGGTGACGTGCAAACCGCCGCTTACTTCCAGGGTCGTCTTCCTTCGTTACTTGTACGACAGTTCTCCCCCGACCAGGCATTCATCTACCTCCTTGAAGCATGGGTAGCGATCCTGGCACCATTGGTCTTCGAACCATGGCTCGACCACTTCTACGTCCAACGCTGTGACAATGAGGCTTCACGACATGCCCTACTCAAGGGCGTCGGCAAACATCAGCCTCTCAACTGCCTCATTGCGGCGCATTGGACTTGGCATAATCGGCGAAGCCTTGCACACTGACTTGAACGTGTCCCCACCAAGGCCAACATCTCCGACGGGATCAGCCGGTTCGAGCACGTTCCAGAGTCTGAGTCCTGGACTAAACTCGATTTACCTCTAAATGCACTGACGAGTAGAGTCAGAGCTGCGAAGATCATAGGAGACATTCATTTTGCTTCCTCTACGGGTTTTTCCGACATGCCCGAAATTCACCGATTGCACGATCTTTTGATCTCGATGCTAGGTTAATGTGCTTTTCGAATGGCGTTCGCCGGCGACGGGAGGACGCGACCACCCTCGATGGGAACCAGTCGGTCCTCCCAGCAGAAGGAACTTCGATACTTCCTGTTCGGAAGATCTACACCGATCTGTAAGATCGACTACTTCGATCTGTAAGATCGAAGCGCAGACATAACGCCACCGAAGCGGAAGCAGGTGGAAAACAGCTCCGCTTCAGCCAGGGATTCATGGCATTCGTGTGAGATTTTCGTTGTCCAGTTGGGTCAATGGGCTGGAAACCCTGACTGACCAATGCCCCTCAACCCTGAAACTCTTCGCCCAAAATCAAACGCCCTGCGCTCCGAAGCTCAAGACATTCAACCCAAATCTCTTCGATCCTTTGGGGCAATAGACCTAAAGTCCGGCGTTTAAATGCGGACACCTAGAACTACAACCCCGGAGCCGTAAATCCATGAAGCCTTTTCGCAGACCGAGGTCAACATGTACGACGCGACACTGGTGGCTGTGAAGGTTTTCGAGACGGACCAGTGCCTGTCGTTTATTGACGACTCTCTTCGCACCATTCCCAAACCCAGCAATGGATCCACCGATGATTTTTTCGACAACATGAAGTTCAAGTTGGTTGACTTTGGTGACTATGTTGGCTTTCAAAGCCCTCAGTTCAAGAAGTGGATGTATGTGAACGTTGAATCAGTTTGTGTTTGTGATGGTCGCTCAAGCTTTGAGGTTGGTCTGTGTCCTGTTCGAGGCAATCCAAGAAATGATGTGAGAATGCGTTTTCAAGTCGTCACATTTGGTGCAAGCTCATACGCCGGACTCAAAAGCTTGCGCAGTGACAAATGGTTGGCTCCCGCAGATGAAACTGGAGTACTTCAGTGTTGGCGTCGCGGTAAAGATCCCACGCGTGAAAGGCGCCTTCGCTGGGAAGTGTGCCGTCTGGGTCAACCCGAGAAGATGGAGGTGCCTGCGATCTTACAATGAGTTGAACCTGAGAAGCTGAACGTTGAACCTGAGTCCTGCGTGAGCTGCTTCAAAAAAGTGTGTGCTATGCTGACGCACCATGCCCGGTCTGTGCATGTGGCCCCAACCATTTGGCTCTGTGTTGTGTTTAGGTTTGGCCGTTGCTCTCACTGGGTATCTGTCCGATGAGTTGGCCGAGGTCATTCATTGAGATTGTCTCGGCTTGCCAGTGGACCATCTCCTTTGTGCCTCGGAAGCTTAACATCCGGGTTCAAGGCTTGTTTCAACTATTTACTTTACCATAAGATTGTAAGATATTGTAAGCATTCCTTCCAGGGCCGTGCACTCTGAAGGTTCAAACACTGCTCGTCAACTTGCACCTTGAATCATGGTTCCTCGGAGTCTCGTTAGAAGCAGGTAGAGCCCAAAATTCACAGGATTGGCCCCCTGCCGCCATTTTCCGCACACGACTGTGCCAACAGCTTCAAATCAAACACACCAAAGACGACCAACCTATGGCAGCTCTCAGCGTCACACGCTGGCATCCTCAACATCTCCGCACTGGGCACAGGCATTGATCATCGTGATGTAGTGAGCCTGAGATTGGGTGGCCACCTCAAACCGCTTGAAACATATGAGCTATGTCTGTATTCACGTGGTGTCCAACTCTCCTTGTCGGCACAGTCAGTTGCTGGCAGCGCATCGTTAAGTGGCTGCCGGTTTGACAGTCTGCCGTGCCAACGGGAGCACTGCCTCCTGTCATGTGGGCCGGCTGCTTTGGCGACCATGCTCAACTGGGATTCGGTCCCGCGCCTGAATTTCCAAACTTGGTGCAAGGTGCGAAAGCCAGCCCCCGCGGCAAGCCTGGTTGCTGCACACAGGCAGAAACTTTTCGAGCTGCAAGGAATAGGCATTGGTGTTTGAACGCTTGTTTTTTCTGCCACTGCTACGACCCTGCTCCTGCTTATTCTGGCGCTGTTGCTGCTGCTGCTGCTGCCGCCAACTTTAAGCTGACATTTCAGTTACTGCTGTGTTGCTACTACGACGACGACGGCAACAAGAACGACGACACGCATATTGCTAAGCAGCAATCTTCAAAGATGATGAGCCATACTCGTAGCAAGCACATGAGTGGCCAAAATGCCGACTGTGCTAACGCCGATAATCATACTTCCAGCAGCATGGAGAACACAAGCCGTGCAAGTTTCAACGGTATTCCAGCAACCGCAGGTCTTCAGACTGTCAGAGTTGGAATGAACCGCTCCGAGGTTGAAATCATTGTTCACTTTCACTACGTATGGTTTTCATTGAAAGCAGCAATGCTATGGTAGGAGAACAAGAAGACCTCAGAGCCTAGCGTTGGACTGCTTTGCAGGATGCCAGCGATCCCAGTGAAAGGCCCGACCGCGAACGGCCCCTGGGCGGAGTGCCGCGGCGCAACTCCCAACGAACGAATGCGGCGAGCGGTGACTTGAATTTGATTGGCTGCAGTGCTTTTGAACGGTATTGTTGTAATTGGTCTCTTGTACAACCACTCTACTCTAGGAAGGATTTCGCGCCAAGCACCTAGCAGCACGAGCTGGCCACTTGCGGATGCTGTGCTAGCCAGTGCTAGCCTTTGAGAAGTAGTTATTGCTCTATAGGAGCTCATCTCGTGCTGGTGGTTCATTCGCTGTTCTCTGCGCGTCACAGGCTTGGCCTCGGCAAGGCACCGAGAACTCCCTCATGTATCGGCCGTGTGACCGCGGTCAGACGAGTTACTCGTGTTGCTGTTGATTTTTCGGATAGCAGACTGGGAGCAGCAGCAAGTGGCGCCCACCGAATCCTGACTCAGGAATCCAATGGAACGAAGAGCCACGCATGACGGCTAGGGAGAAGAAGTGTCTCTCTGTGCCTCACCACCTCCTCCGGTTGCTTTCTCTGGACTTGCCAAGTCAGAGGCTAGGGCGTTGAGGGCCATTTCCGTGCAGTTGCTGTGAGGATGCACTCGAATTCATTGAGCGGCCTAAGGTCCGGCAGTTCAGAAGCCTTCGCCTTCGTCTAATTGCATAGAAATTCAGCGCCTCCCGCCGGAAATGCTTCATATGCCCGACTGAATTTTATGAATGCTCTTCCAATCGGTTCTGTGATCACATGGGATATAAATAAACGTGGGAAGCACCAGGCGAACGAGGCCGGTTCGGAGATTGTTCGCAAATCAGGGGTGACCGACATTTCGCTTCCTTTCGTATCGCACAACAGACAACAGACCGAGGCTACTCACAGGCTTTGAGGGTGTTGGTTTCTGGACTTTGCGATCGTACAGAGTTCTGGTCCAGAACTGTTTCCAGCTTATAGTATCCTTGTCTGTTTGAGAGCAGCGGAGCCATAAGAGAAGTGCTTGACGTGCAAGGTAAAGCAATAGTATGTGGTCGCCGGGCATGATTCAAGCCCGAGGAAGACTGCTGTCTAGTTACAAGTTCTTGTCCACCCGCACATGCTATCTGCAGGCAGCGATGAATGATGGCGGCCAGGAAGCACCCCAAAGACCTCGGCCGCAGCCCCATGAATGTTCATAGCATAACATACATGCCGATGAGTTTCCTACATTGCAGCCGGCAGCATAGCTCAAACCACGTTGCGCTTGATGTTGCTACAGGCCTCGGCAGCCCAGAGATTGGTCAGAGCCCCTGCAGTGCGTCGCCATTTAATACGTAGAACGATTCAGCACGACTCTTGAGTCTCTATAGATATTGGCACAAACCCAAGGCTCCGTACGGAGCATTACCGTAGGTTTCTTAGCTGTTGTGAAACCCTGCGGTTCACAACATTTGACGCGGCCATGGAAACTGGGATGGAACTTTCTACGCCCAGTCACATATGTGTATAAGCTTGTAAGTCTGCCCATGCAGCGAATCCCAAGTTTCCGTGGCTGCAGATCACCTGAACTCTAAGAGTTGCAGGGGGATTCTTTTGCCTTTGGAAGGCTGCCAGCCAGCAGGCTCAGCTGAATTTGCTGGCACCTTGCCATTTAGCTTCATGAGGTTTCCCGTTCGATGTGTGTCCGATCAGTACTGCGAGAGATCTCTAGACTTTGAACGGTACTTGGGTGGGCGGATTACCTCCAAGAGCACATCATGATAAGATGCATGTCTGTAGCTTAAGTACGGTGAACGCCGCGCAGTCGTGCCGGAAGGAATGCATCCAGCTGAGTTGGTCGAAGTTTTCCCGAACATAGATGCCAGATGGAGTTCGGAAACAAGCGAGTTCGCTGCAGTGCGTGCGATGATTACAGCAGAACATCGGGCGTGACATTAGACACAACCTTCCGATTGACTGCGACAGTTCATGCCATTGGATGGAGTCAGACCAGATGAGGTCAGCCTAAGTTCAAGACGGAACAGGACGAAGGATTTTTTTGGCCGACTGCGGTTGACGCCCAACTTCTCGCGGCTCTGCCAGCGCTGAGCCTCCTTTAACATGGAACATCCAAGAACCAAGCTTGTGTAAAGCTGCACTGCGAAGTCTCGAATGCTCCAGCATCCAGGAAAGTCAGCGAATCCCGCACAACAAGACTACGCAAGTCTGCCTTTGCTTCCAGTGGTTTCTGATGAGTGACTTAGCAACCCCGTCCACTGAGCATGCAGGCAATCATCGCGCAACCGGTCAGCATCAACAACGAACACAACACAGATAATTCACGGCTCTCATGGAGCATGATGGCAACTGCAAGGACACCCCATTGTGCCACGGGTTCGCGAGAGACATCATGGAAATTTTGTTTCAGGAGCCACTGGCAACCTGGTCATCATCTTCCGATGAGAGCGGTTGCCTCTTAGGAGGCCGCAGCGCAACAGCTCGCCAGACCTTTGCTTTGAGCCTCTGACAGCGAAGGCGGTAGCAAACACTGCCTCGACGAAGGCAATGAAAGAAGAGGCCTTGTGCGATTGAAAGCCGCTTGCTGGAATGTGTCAACTTTTGGAGCTTCCTCGTAACCAGGTAATCCTAATTCGCTTGCACACAGGGATGGCCCAAGTCTCAGCAACGGATGAGATAGGGCGTCGCTCTAGACAAGAAGGCATGCCTGCTCCACTCAGTGCTCAGCTAAGGTCAGTCACCGCAAAGCCGTGTACCTGCTGCTGCCTGCTATGTCTTGACAGGCCCCTTCCCTTGCCCAATGCTCGGAGGCCCAGGATGGGAGCGACAAAGCTGTGCTCGAATCGGGAGGTCTTGTGATAATGACACTCCTGGCCCTCAACGTCGTCTTAAATCTGCCTACAAAGGGCAACCTCCGAGGAGGCGACCCCCTTTCGCCGGAATGGGATGGGCTCATTCGCTGTGGATCTTCCGTCTCCGATCATCAGGACGCAGCCCCTCTGAAGGGGAACATCCTGCAGGGCTCTCAGTGCGGGCATAGGTAACCTGTGATGTGCCTCACAGCAGGATGTACATCCCTGGTTCGAGGTCAGTCCTCGAAAGTTTCTCGAGTCCGGACTTGTCTTGAAGGACGACGAGGCTCAACGAACTCGGCTGCGGCAGCAGGGTATTGCAGACTTGGCGTGAGTTGCGCCAAGTTGAAGCGCGCAGGAGATTGTAAATTCACTCAGGGAGCATTCTCGAGTTATCACGGGTGCAAATGGATCTGAACCCCCCCGCTCCCTCAACGGAGTGCAACAAAAGCAGCTGGACTTGAAGGTGAGCACTGCTGCAGTGAAGAAGGACTGGGAAGGGGGTGTTGCTTAATGTTGCTTAGACCTCTTCCACGGAAACGGTCTTGCACTTATGCATCTATGCATTACTTGAGTTGCACCCGGTGCCTTGACGCTCGCCCATTCAGGACATCGTGGTTGGTGTCGGTGAGGGTGACAAGCCTACCGTGCCTCAGCAGCACACGCTCAGTTCGGCTTATGGTTGCTTGCTCGGGTCCTTCCAACCAAAAGCGTTGATTTCCGGCGAGTTCAGATCCGATTGAACTGGCAATAGTTTGGGCGCCCGAGGAGGAGCCGTCGGGTCCGAGAAGTGCTCTCTGGCATCTCCTGTAAGACTTCATCATCAGTTCTTGCACTCCTAGCTTGCTCTGTGCGTGAATGATGCTTCTCCAGTTGCTGCAACGAGTCGTTGTTCTTTGGAACGGGTCGCAGACCCTCGATGCCGTTGACAATGCAGCAGCGGCGGAGGGGATGCACCTGCGAGGTCGTCACCGATAGCTGTTTTTGGCACTCCTGCGGCATGAATACCGCACCTTGGCTGCAGTCCCGTCGGGGTCGAACACCTGAACAAGATTTGGCAATGCATTGCTGAGTCATCGGAGCGCTTCAGTGAATAATTAGCAGTGGTCGTGCAGCCTCAGGTCTGCAGACTATCTGCGGATGATGTCTCAGTCGACGGCAGCTTTCTCAGTGACAGATGTTGTTGTTGGTCTTTTCGGTATGCTCACAGAAATCTGTCGTCAGTTGAGTGGACATTGTGGATTGCCACAGTCTGTGTATGTCAATGTCGTGCAATTTGACTGTGCATGGTTTTACTAGCCCGTCCTGCACAGGTGACAAGACCGTCAACGCCACGAATGCGAGCAACCTGGAGGAATGTAAGCAGAAATGCGAACAACTTGGCGAGGACGCCGCTGCGAATTGCCGCTTTGCTGCTGCATTTGCTAGCCAAACGGGACTCGTGTGTAGAGCATGTCGAGCGGAAGGGTGAACAGCTCCGATTCCTTGAGGACAACTGCACCGGTGTCGAATACAACCACAAGTCACACAGGCGCATCTCTTGTGCCAGCAGACCTGTGCACGGGAGTCATGGAATTTCTTCCTTCAGCAGAGTTGTGGGATCGGAGCTCATGTCCTTCCTTTCTTTTCCAGCCGTGGAACTGGCCAGCCGCTCGCAAGGGAGAATTCGCACTCTTCTGCTCGCGAATCAGCGCGGAGCACATCTAAATGTGTTCCTGAAATTCATCCGCGCGTGCGATCGCAATCGACGAGGTGCTCGCATGTGTTACGCGGTCAGCGGAGCGCGTTTCGGCCTGATCTGGGAATCGCAGCACATCCATGTGACGGTTCATCTTTCCGTAGAAGATGCTTACTGTTGGATCTAGAAACCAGTTTTCTCTCTAGACGGACGAAACAAGCTACTCGTTGCAGCAGCAATGGAGACCGCTATAGTGAATTCAGATGTCACTCACGTTAGATTCCAATAGTCCCGGATGCGACAGAGGCGTGACATGAATCATTGCTTGAATAGACTCCGTGGAAACCTGCTTGTTGCAGGTGCGAGCTTTGGACTCGTCCCATTCTGTCACATCGCAGCTGCTTGACTGGCCACGACTGCCCGGAGGCCTTTGCAACAATCGCATACATCCAGGAATTCTTGAAAGTCCCCCAGAAGCTGTTCTTCCAGCCCGGCTTAAAGTGCTCCAGGAGCTTCCGAGCAACAGATATCTCGCAAGGGGATCTGCGAGAGAGTTCTTTGATGCTCCCATATTGGCTCTAGTGAATTGGTGCTTTTCGCTGCAGGCAAACTTTTCCTGCCACACAATGCAGTGCAAGGTGCACGGCTGCCTGCCTTGCGGATGACAGTTCTGTCTTGTTGCAGTTCTGCTTAGCTCTGTGATGGAAGTGACCTTGCGGAGCCTCTCCGGATCGACATGGGAAGAATCTCGAAGCCTTTCTTGCCGCATGCAATCAACTGAGAACTTCTGAATGCGTAGGCTATCGACCACCCAGTGCGCCTGCAAACCTCCGAGCGCAGCTTCCACGATAGTTTTGGAAGGACCGGGAAGTGTCTACAGTAAGCCAGGCAAAGCTGGAAATCTTCACCGACGACTGCAAAGTTTTGGTAGTTGGCAGGGGCTTCAAGGGCACGAGGAATCGAAATAAAGCAACCTATGGGTGAGGAGCCCGCTCAGTAGCTCGGTCTTGCAGGCTTACGGGTTGCTAGCATCAGGGTTGCAGCTGGCTGCATATGTTTCAACGGCATCGAGCCACTTTGAATGAGGAGGTAGACTAGGGAATCCAACGTCGTACAACGACAATATCGCGTTGGCGTTGGCCTCTTTGTGCACCTGTCGGTCTGTCGGTCTGTGCAGGAGCATCTCGATCTCAGGCGCGGCCTTCTGTGCAAGACCTGTCTGTATCCTCTGCCCAAGTCGTAACATCACTGCCCGTTGACCTGTCATGGGCACGACTCGAGATGCCATGCAATGCTGCTCGAAGGTGACACTGTGGTAGCTGGAGGCTCAGGGCCTGAAAGCGACATGAACTTGCGCAGAAGCACGACGGCTTGCTTCGAGCTGCACGGTTTCACACACAACATTGCTTCTAATCGTTTCAATAAAGCGGCATTTGTCTTAAAGGACTGTGTGTGAGAGAGACAGAGAGAGAGAGAGAGAGAGGCCTGAACCCCACGCCCGGTAGAGAGAGAGAGAGAGAGAGAGCGCCGGCCCCGGCGTGGGTCCAGCTCGCTGGACCTTGACCCGCAGCAAGCAAGCAAGCAAGCAAGCACGTGTTGCGATGTCAATGTGGTCAGTGTAACCGAACGGCCGACCGTGCAGCAAAGTTATGCAAAGTTGACGGATCTCCATGATGCTCACTACCAGCACTTTCCTCGTTGCCACTGCTACCACGGCGATGCACACTGTTGCAGGTGGCCAAACTTTTCTAGAACTGCAGACAGAAAAAACGCAGAAACAAAGAAAGAGCATAACCTCTCGCGTGTGCTGTGTAGGAAGAAGAGAACCCTATAAAGAGAGAGCGAGAGAGAGAGAGAGAGAGAGAGGACTCCCTTAATTGCATAGAAGAAAAGAAACGAGAGAGAGACAGAGAGAGAGGTTGCACTGAAGCGAGGGCTGCAAGGACTGCTTGAGCTCTCACCCCTGAGCAAATCAAAGCAGAGAGAGAGAGAGAGAGAGAGAGAGAGAGAGAGGCACCAGTCGCCAGTGAGCCGCCGGAGAGTCACCTCGAGCCCGACGGACAAGCCTACGCCGTAAACTTCACCTGACAGAAATGACTGAGGCATCGAGGCAGTAGCAAGGGGCATGGCCGAAACACTTCCAAGCATAGGGCCCCTGTTACCAGGTTCCAGAGCCGGCCCCTTGCCCAAACTGCTGCAAGTAGCCCTGCATAGTGCGATCTGCACCATAGTTGCACCATGTGCTGTTGTTCAAGCGAGCAGGGCGTATCGGTGGTAGTCCTGTTAAGCCCTGCGTCCTGTGATCTGCACCATAGTCGAGAACCAGGCTGTTTTTCGACCCGGCGGGGCAGTAACAGACCCAGAACCTTGTAGGGAAGCCGCACACATACCAGTTTTACTGTATTGCTACGGGTTGGCTAGCAGATGTCTCGAAAGAGCGGGGCGAGGCAAGACACACTCAGCGGAAAATCCACAGAGTACAGCAGCGAGAGGGCAGAACAGAACCAACTAGTCTAGCCAGCAAGCTCCGCCCGTGGGGAGCCCGAACCTTTGTTGCACGAAATACCGTGCACCCAGCCAACAGAACGGGCAGCTCCCGCGGGGGCTCGCCCTCAAGTCTGGGGAAAGAAAGAGAGGGCGCGCTGATACTTGTGGCTGTGTTGAAGAAGAGAGCGAAAAAGAGAGTTTATACCAGAAAATGTTCGGCCGGCTGCCCCGTGAGCAGCAGAACGGGTGGACCACCGAGACCGCCACATTGCGCCAAAGAATTTCAAGACTCCTCAAGCCGGGTCTACACGAGAATGCTCAATGCCAGCAAGAGCAACGCTCCGGACTGTTCAAAGCAAGGAGCCTCTGCAGGAACGGAGCCGTGCGCAGCACCCCGCATCAGATCAGATTCTGATTTGAGATTGTATCTGTCCCTTGGACATGATGGAAAAAGGTTCTTGACAAAGCACAACAATTTTGACAAGAGGTCGGCGCTCCAGGCGATAATGATCGTGGCGACGACAGCGGGGCTGCTTACGTGTCCTGGCACCACTGTACAGAATGAAGCCTGGAGTTGCTTTGGAAAATACCTTCCATCTCTCGATGAAGTTAGTTAGTTTGCCATTCTGCGCTTTGAAGGTATTTGTCCGCAAAGCGAACACGTTTGCGGAGCAGGCGTCGCCGGTGAAAATCACGGTTGGAGAATCATCGCCACATGCACATGTGCCAAGCTGCAGGCCAAACTTACCGCCGACGATGGCTTTCGGAACTCCTTCTTCGGCAATAGTGCGAGCATCTTAGAAGAGCGAGTCTGATGAAAAGGCAGGCCAGACAATGCACTCGGGTCATGTCAACTGCATAGTTGACCATGATACTGAGCTATCGACATGCCTTCAAAAGATCTGAGCCATGCAAGATTGCCTGACCAAGGTTAGCATTGCAGGTACTAGGATTTTGGTGGGGGCATACCGCGATGGTTTGAATGGGAAGAAGGACCTCCTTAGGGCCTTTGTCTGCTTAAGATGATCAGCGCAGTCCTCACATGTCGGTTTTGGTATGCAGGACAGCGGCTCAGCGTACGTGTTTCGTCGAGATTTGGATGCACCACAGCTGCACGCCAGCTCGCCGATTCACAGTTGCATGTTCCTTGCTCTATGGGCTTACAGGGTCACTGTCATTCATCATGCCGACCTGGGTGGGTGTTCGAGCCATCAAAAAACACGCGCAGAGGCAAGTGCTGAGCTCTTCCAATCCGATCTGTCCAGTGTCCACACGGAGCCAGCACTCCCTCTGTTGTGTATTGATGCTACAAACATTGAGCTCACAGGCAGAAGGCACCTGCACCAGGTGGCAGTTGCCACTGTCGATCAGCATACAGTCCGAAGTGGTTGCATCTGAGGTGTGGGAGCAGGAATCGAAGCTGTCTCCGGAGGACTGACATTGCGCAAGAAGACAGCATTGCAGTTGTTCGTTTTCCGTTTGGTTGCTTGGCTTTACGGCTTTACTCTTTAGTCGATCACCTCAGGCTTACAGGTACATTTCGATTTCTGACCTGTCGCGAATTGGAGGATGCTGTGGAGAATGAACGGTTTGGTTCGAGGCCTGGGAAACTGAAGACGCGTTCCAAGCTGCTTACCCTAAACCCTAAACCTCGAAATTGCGGCATGCTCTGTCGGAGCAGAGTTTTGTGCGCGCAGGGTCAGCCTTTTCGGAGACCTGGCTGTAATCATGTCGGCCGGGAGTGCCGCCAAGAATGTGTCGGCGGCCATCTATCTCTTTCACGTGAAAGGGAGAAGCTGGGCGGGCAGCTGAGTGCTTGCAATTGGGTGTGCAGGGTAGCGGAAGCATTGTGGCGAGAGGGGGTGGTGACTGTGAAAGGTCTTAAAGGCCAAACTGGCATCTCCCAAATCTGCCGCGCACCCGGACAATCTCTGTCTAATGATTCGGTTCGTGTCCATGGCATGCATCATTCCCCAAGCCTCAAATGCCGAGTTGACAAACACCTCCAAATTCGGGTCCAGCCTCAGCCAGAGCGCCGACACCATAATGATTGGCGCCGAAGAGGACGAGCCTTCAAGAGAATGTCGCGTGCACCGCGGAACATGTCCTTTGTATTGCCTGAGGACGACGTGAACGGCAAGGCCAGTGGGGCGGTATATGTGTACAGCTTCAACGGGACAAGCTGGTCAGAAGCTCGGGCAGTCGCAGTGTATGTTCTGAATCGGAAGCTCGGGCTTGCTGTCAAAGTTCCTTTCACGAGAGAAGTGAGGGAAGTCCGTACTTCAGACTCCATGCAGCTTGCTGACGCAGCCGGCGGCGAACTTCACATTTGCGAAGACTGTGGCTCAAGCTGCTACCGTCATAGTTTTCAGGCCCACGGGTTCCTTAGAGTCCGATGTCGGAAGGATTGGATCACCTCGCCTACGTGGAGGGCAAGCGTAGACAGGTAAGCTCCTCAGCGTCGAACCGTGGCATCCTTGGGGCAGCTCGTAAGACCAAAAGGCCCAGCAGAGGGCATTGGACCCCGGTGGTGCCATCCCACACTTTGGCATTCTGGATTTCAACAGAAGCCGGAGCCAAAGCAGGTCCCAGGCGTTGGATAGATGACGGATGATGGCGGCAGATGACAGAGCGATCATGAGATTTCAAGTGTAACTCCTCACGGTCGGCGTCGGATGCCACGTGGCTGCCGTTGTGCCTTGAGGCGTGAGAGCTCGACAAGGAAACAGTTGCAGTTCACTTTCGTGGTTGCCTCTTGCTCGTGATGAAGCAGTAAAGTGTTCTGCCGATTCTAGTCCAGACTGCTCCGTGCAGGCTTTTGGGTGTGGGGTCGGACACATGCCGACAAGCCGTTTCACGAACTCGTGAGTCATGGCGAAGGCAGCACGTGCAGTTGCAATGCCGATCTCGGGGCTTTGCCTTCCCTCACACTGTGGATCTCCGACCTGGCTCTTGAAGGGAAGAATCCGCGAGTCTTCGTGATGCCATCGCGGTGGTTGGCACCAGCTGGTTTACACCAACAGGGCTGGAACCACCGCTGCAAATAATTAGCAGCAGTGTGTCCAGAATTTGCTGGGTGAAACCAGTGTAATAGAAAAAGCGAAAACAATGCCCGACAGCAGATTTGCAAGCACTTGGACGGACGAGAGGAAATGTTCAACTGGACAGCACTGATGGCAGCTTTTCTGCACGGACATCGCCGGAAACACCGTGTGTCCAGCCTCGGATTTAAAGTTTCTTTGTAAGAATTTGTTTGTAAGTTTCTGTCTATGCCAAAACCCCTAAGCTTTGAAGGAAACCCAAGCGCATTCAGCAGCCTGAACCCTTACAATTACAGCAAGAGTAGACCTTGGACGTAAACCGTCACACCTCTAGCAGTTCGCCCTTCATCAATAGCCGCCCCTTTGCCCATTAAGAACACAGTCGATTGCCTGCAACTTTCGCCAAGCATAGCCTAAAACCTGCAGCTAAGGAGTTATTGGGCCAGCTTGGACGCGTCTTTGCCTACCCGGACTTCGTGGACCCAGTGCTCATCGCCCCTCGCACATAGCTCCCAACCGGGCCAGTGCCCTTACTTTTCGGGGCACGATTCCTTCGAGTTCCAGCTTGTCACGGCACCTTGTATTGTGAAGATGGGATGTGAATTTCTGTTTGTGAGGTTCTGGCCACGACGAAATCCATAAACTGAACCCAAGCCCGTTCAACCGGAAGACCCTTACAACCAGAGTAGACGTCGGACCCATGCTGTGACACCTCTAGCAGATCGCCCTGCATCACTAGCCAGCCCATTGTCCATTAAACACACATTCGATTGCCTTCAACTTACGCCGAAGCACAGCCTAACAACTGCATGAAGGGCGCGAGCTTTCTATGTTGAAGCAGCTCGGGGATAGTCTCGGTGGATTCTCGTACATTCCGGTGAACTCCTGAGGTGGCCGTAGCGGGTTGCTCCAAATCTGGGTCCCTGTCCGCTTTTGGGGATTCAGGAAGACCCTCGCGCATGAAGCCCCAAACTCGGCTTTCAAAGAAGAGAGGCCATGGCCATGGCTGAATGTTTGTAGCGGCTCCAGCTCGGAGGTTTGAACCTCAAGGCCTGGCCCGCTTGGACCGAAGGCCTTGAAGGTTGAGGCTTGAAAGGCTTGAGGTGCTTCTTTGAGGAGTTGGTGAAAAACCCTAAGCTCCTTGACCTCGAGCCACGTTCTTGCAGAAAAAGAAAGCAAAACTACATGGTTCGTGGCGCGTTCCCGCGCGTGGTACAAAAGGCATGTTCTCATCGACGGACGTGCAGAAAACATCGGCAGGGGCGGGTTTTGAGCATGTCGGTCAAGGCATGCCTATTTTAGGAGGGAGCCTATTTGCCTACTTGCTTGTATTGAAAACGGTCATGGACGTGCAGAAAACATCGGCAGGGGTGGGTTTTCAGCATTCCGGGCAACGCATGCCTATTTGAGGGGGGGAGGCTATTTGACTACTTGCTCGCATTGAACTGGGCGATGGAAGTGCAGAATACATCGGCAGGGGTGGGTTTTCAAGAGATCAGGCTTTTTTTTCCTACATTGGGGGGCAGGCTGTTTGAGTACTTGGTCGCAAGTAGTTGTTACGGAAAGTGGCCTTTTCGTCGTCTCGCATGCTCGGCGCCCCGTCGGGCATGCTTCAGAGTGCAGAAGTGGAGCACCCAAGAGATCAGACTCCATCCCAGCAGGATAACGTCCAGATCAGACTCCACCCCAGCAGGATAACGTCAAGATCAGACTCCATCCCAGCACGATCACGTCCAGATCAGACTCCATCCCAGCAGGATAACGTCCAGATCAGACTCCATCCCAGCAGGATAACGTGCAGGTCAGACTCCATCCCAGCATGATCACGTCCAGAACAGACTCCATCCCAGCAGGATAACGTGCAGGTCAGACTCCATCCCAGCAGGATAACGTGCAGGTCAGACTCCATCCCAGCAGGATAACGTCCAGATCAGACTCCATCCCAGCAGGATAACGTCCAGATCAGACTCCACCCCAGCAGGATAACGTCAAGATCAGACTCCATCCCAGCATGATCACGTCCAGATCAGACTCCATCCCAGCAGGATAACGTCCAGATCAGACTCCATCCCAGCAGGATAACGTGCAGGTCAGACTCCATCCCAGCAGGATAACCTTCAGATCAGACTCCATCCAAGCAGGATAACGTCCAGATCAGACTCCATCCCAGCATGATCATCAGCAGTAGTAGAACTGCTAAGAGTAGAACAGGCTCGTCATTAAGCCCCCCCCCCCACCCCCCCCCCACCCCCCGAAGCCGCAAAACATGCAAAAACCTGCAAAAACTACACGCGCGTGTACGCGCCACACTCCAACTACATGCACTCTCTTTGGGTTTGCAAAGAGCCGAGGCAGCGGCCCAAGGAGCCCTCCTTGCTGTACCGGAAAACACAATCGGCTGGGAGCTCATGTCGGAGCGAGGCTAATTCAGCAAGAAAGCGGCGCCCGAATCCACTGCAGCGCCGTTTAGCTTCCCAAGAACATCCTCTGCGATCGGCACGAAAAATCCTTCGAAGACGCGAGCTCTGCAAAGCGACATCTTGACGTCCTACGGCCGAGCTTGGATGTGTCCTTTACCCGGACTTCTTGGACCCAAGGCGCTGATCGGTGCAGCACTTCGCGGCGAGAACCGCGGAGGAGTTGCTCCGAATACCACTGAGGAATGGAATTAAGGTGAGGCTTCCGCTGGCAGTGTCGATTTCAGTGATGGCGACTGGTTGGGTAGGGACTGCGCATGTCTAAAGGTGAGGGCCCTGAATGATGGTATTTATGCTCGAATGCAGGGCCTTGTGTTCTTTTGCTTCCGACCCAGAACTCCAAAAGGGCCTCCTGTCGGGGAGGTGAGGTTTGTATGTTGATGTTACTACGGTGGCGCGGGCATACCTGACCTCAAGGTGCAGGTCGCCTGAACGGGCACACCTAACCTCCAATGCAAGAGCCTGCATGGAGACAAAAGATGACCGATAGCCGATAGCGAGCACTGCTGAACGGCTCATGTGATTGCAGCACATACATTAGACTGGTGAGGATGATGATGAAGATGATGGTGGCGATGCTGTTGATGATGACGATGACGATAGATTATGACAACGCCCACAAGGAGTAGATGATGACGATGATGATGATGCCAATGCTGACGTCATTTGCAGAAGCTGCTGCTGCTGCTTCCGCTGATGAGAGGTTGAGGTTGAGGAGTGTGGCGGTCAATTTCGTCTTGTGATTGGGCACGTTTCTGCCTCCACAGGTAGGATGTCAGCCAGGATGCTCAGTAGCAAGTGTGAGTATTCTGGTCCGTATGTCCGGACTGTGTGCCCGTCGCCGAACTACTCTTGTGAATATTCATTCTATTGGCATGCCCACTTTTGTGGACGAGCCTTAAACTATGAGATCTAAAGCGTTAATCCCTGGACCGTCAACCTGCACTCCAAAGTCCAAGAATCGTCTGAAGATAAACGCTTCAAGTTTAAAGACTTCCCTCCATCCGAATCGAAATCCGGAGCCCATTGCATGACGTGAAGCGGTTGCTTCACCGGAGTGGTGCACCGAGTGCACCGAGCAGCGCAACTCGCGTTGCCAGTATTGAGGTCTCAACCAATCAGGCTCGTAGCGAACGACACAGCGGCGGGAGATCACTTTGGCTGCAGCGTTAGCTTGTTGGGTGCTCGGTCGAGTTGTCATTCCTGCCCGTGACGGAACAGGGCTGATAGACATGCCTAAGGGCTAGATTCCGTTGTCGCGATGCTCGCTCATTCAGTTTGGAAATGCTTGGAGCCTTAGGTCGGAGTCTGGCAAGACTTGCATCGTCGGTGCCTATGGTCATCGTACCAAAGGAAAGCTGAGCGCTCAGATGCCGACTCTGTGAAGCTGAACCTGGTGGGAGCTTATGCGATGCGAGCACTGCGTAATCGCTGCAGGGGCAGTGGCGCGGCATACGTCTTCAAGCGGCAAGAGGGGTGCCTTGCCAGAAGAAAGGTTCGGAAGTCAAGGCTTGGTCACCCAAGTCCTAGGGCAAGACATCTCAAGCCACATGCCTCAAGCCGCTTCACAAAGCCTCTTTCACCCACATTCCTATACCAGGCCCCGCCATATCCCGACCACGGCACAGTGACAATCTCACTTCAGTCTTCCTCGAGCCATTCTTTTCTTCAGGGCCGCTGCTGCCCAAGCCAAAGTCACCCGAGCGACTGAAGTGCATGTTGCGGGATGTTGCAGTTGCGTGTGCTCATTGGTCTGAGGGCACGTCCACATAGTCTTTATTTTGTCAGGAAACTTAAGTGCTGTCTTTTGATGCATGGTCATGTTCAAGCGATCCATCTGGAATTGTTTTGTATCTGCACCCAGTAGCACCTATTGGAATCTTCCGAAAGCAGTGTAACAGTACAACTGACATCACTTGGAGGCAAGTGTTTCCGTCCGAGCTAAGGCGATGGGTGCAACAGCAGCAGCTGGCCTCTGAGGCATGTCGGGACAAGTATCGGTGGTCCGACAGAAGCTGGCTATGGTTCGATCCACAACCAAAGCCTGCCAGAATAGGGTAGCCTGCGATTTAGTTCGCCGCATGTTCTGAATTGTGCCAGCAATGGTGAGGTAGTGTTGCATCAAGCCGTTGACAATGCTACAGTCCTGTTGTGCAGGACCTTGATGCAGACGACGGCTTCGGAAAAAGCGTCAGCACTTCTGATTCCATAGCCCTGCCTGCCAGTTTACATTGCGGATTCAGTTGAAGGTGCAAATCCTGTGACATTCAGCATTTTGATTTTGTGCTTCAAGATCGCATGAGTAGGTTCGTGCATCGAAGCATCCTCGCGTTGTGCAGCCATCCTACCCGCTCCGCTTCCACCAGCGGCTAAGTTAGTGATACGGCAGGCCGCAATCGGAGCCTTCGGCGACGAGCACGGTGGAGTTGACCGAAGTGGTTCGGCGTACATCTTCATTTATGCAGGCACTGCGTCAAGTAACTGAGCATTGCGATCTCTGCAGTTCTGTCGTGAGCACGTGTAAGGCCATGCCTTGTGCAGGTCGCAAGTGGGTGCAGCAGAGCAAGCTGGCGCCACAGCAGGCCACGTGAAGCTTGCTGAGCCGCATGTACGGAAGAGTAGAGAGAGCGGGACGGGGCACGGCAGCCGCGGGGTTGGAATCTGCACGGGTCCAAGACCTGCTTTGTCTCGATTCTGTGGTTCAGCTATAGCCCGAATGACAGCAGGCCAAGGCGGGTGCTGAGTTTGGCAGCGTCCGGAACCCGACTTCCAGCCGTCGCTGATCATTGGGCACGAGCAAATTGAACCTCCTGGCGGTGTACAACAACGATAGCCGCTTTGAGGTCGCAAGCATATCTGGGCACATGGCAACCTTCTCTACCAGCGCTGAGCAGGCCTCCTCTTTTCTGCGGATCCGATTGACAAATTGCAGTTGCATAAAGCTTCGAGCTCAGGTGTTTGTTTTCCCGGCGTATCTCACCCAGGCGGAAGCTCCGAGCAATTTGTGCTAGCAGTAAATGTCTCCGAATTGTAAACTAGTCTACAGGAGGGCCTTGCTCAGGTCGATGCTATGAAGCACTAGAAAACGATACTAGTAGGGGAATCCCAAAGACGATACCTTCAGCTTGAAGACCCATATTAATCAAGACTGTTATTTCGATTAGTTCTGAAACTACTAGTACTTCTACTTGTGGTACTGGTACTACTGCTACTACTACTACTACTACTACTACTACTACTACTACTACTACTGCGACTACGACTACTACTACTACTGCTACAAAAACTACCACTACTACTACTACTACTACTACTGCTACTACTACTACTACTACTACTACTACTACAGCTACAGCTACAGCTACAGCTACAGCTACAGCTACAGCTACTACTACTACTACTACTACTACTACTACTACTACTACTACTACTACTACTACTACTACTACTACTACTACTTCTACTACTACTAGTACTACTACTACGACTACGACTACGACTACCACTGCTGCTGCTGCTGCTTCTACTACTACTACTACTACTACCACTGCTGCTGCTGCTGCTTCTAGTACTACTACTACTACTACTACTACTACTACTACTACTACTACTACTACTACTACTACTACTACTACTACTACTACTACTGTGGATGGAGGAAGTCTTGCCCGCTGTGAAGATAGGTCATGTAGCTTCACCCCGCGCCCCTTCTTAACATTGCTATGAACACGGGGTTTAACTAAATCGTTCCGATGACATAAATCTTGCACCGCCCCAAGAGATCTGTCGTCAATATAAAATGGGGGTGCGGGGTTGCTGCTTGGATGTGTACCTGAAGCAGTGGATGTAGGTGGTGCAAGATTTCCTCCATCCACCGACTCGAGTAAGACGTTTCTAGCGAGTCGTGACATGGGGTGCATTAGGTACTTGTAGGGGTTGCCATGAAACATGTTATCACAGCAAAAGCTGAGTCGCCGCGAAGTCCGTGCTTTGGACTCAACCTAGCCAGGTGGTTTCCCAAGCGCCCACTTGCACTCACCGAGTCACAGCATGGACGGTAACAGCTGCATTCGACAATTTTGCTGCATCTGGTAGGAATTTGCAGTTAACGTACAGTCAACGTTACAGTCAATGTTCCAGTTAGCGTTGCAGAAATGCTGGCAGGGGCAGCATCTTGGAGTTTTCAAGCATAAAATTTAAGAACAACTTGTATTTCTTGCTTTTTATGCTTGAAATCCCCAAAATGCTGCCCCTGCCAGCTTTTTGGCAACTTTAACTGGAACGTTGACTGAACGTTGACTGTGATTCCTATGTAACGTGTCGACTGCTAAGGGCCATTTGCATGAAGTTGCGTGTATCAGTGTGAGCAGCCCTGTCTGGAAGTATCCACAAGCCATGTTGGACAGCCACGAGCAGGCCAAAGCTAGACCCCGCTCTGGGGACGTAGTGCTGGTACTGGTAGTAGTAGCCATGCGCGTGGGTGGGGGGGGGGGGTTAATAACGACATGGTCGACCGCAATGGTCTTCTTGTTGCCAAAAACACCCGGTACTTTGGAGCGTTTTAGGGGGGCTTTTGTTCGACTGGGAGGGGAGGGCATGGTTGGGGTGTCAATCACGACATGCTTCACCGCAATTTTTGCCGCTTTCGCAACCCCCACGGTGTGGCTCGATTTTCGTGTGTTTTCGAAGGATTTTCTTCCACTGGTGCGGGGGGGTCGTGAGGGGGCGGGGCCCGCACAGTGGCTCGATTTTCGTGTGTTGGCAGAAGCAGTAGCAGTAGCACTAGCAGTAGCAGTACCAGGATGAGTGGCACTAATAGTGCAGCAGCGGCAGTAGCAGTCGCACTAGCACTAGCAGTAGCAGTACCAGTCCCAGTATAGTAGCACTGCTACAGTACTGCTAGGTTCTAGTACCAGTCCTACTAGGAGTCCTACTAGCAGTACCACTACCAGAAGCCGTAGCACTAGCACTGCAATGAAGGCACGAGTCGTTTTGCAGCAGTGTAGTAGGCCTCGTACTAGTAGTAGAAGTAGTAGTAGTAGTAGTAGCAGTAGTAGCACTAGTGGCCGTAGTCCTCAGTCCTACTAGTGGCTTCCAATAACATGCGCACCGGCGTCATTCTCAGCAGCATCATCATCATCATCATCTTCATCATCAGTAGCATCACTAGCATCATCATCGTCATCCGAAAGTGTAGTTATTAGTGAATCAAAGTAGTTTTTGAAAACGTAACTGAACTGCAATTTCACAAAACCCTGTAAAAAACCGGTACTTTTGACCCTCCAACACCTGCAAACTACCAGGCGCCAGGAGGCGCGCAAGCCTAGTAGTACTAGTACCAGTGCTTGTACTAGTACTGCTGCTACTACTACTACTACTGCTACTACTTCTACTTCTACTGCAGGTTAACGTAGAGAGACCAACCAGCGACTGAACAGGCCATTTTTGGTAAACTGATGGTGGTCTAAAGATACCCCAAACGATACCTTAACGATACCCAACGCTTCGCTTAGGAGGCTGTGTGTGGGACCATGCGCATTCGCTTTGTACAGAAAGTGTCTACCCATGCCCATTTCCAACGAAGCACGCGCAACACACGTCTGCTGATAAGTCCCATACCCCACGTACATGCCGGCAAGAAGCATACTTAGGCTCTGCCTGGAGCGACTGCTTCATCTAGTTTGCTTGCATCGTCTGAATCAAAGAGTGCCACCGGTAGTTTATCTAGTCTAACATGAGCCAAAGATGCAGTCATGTGCCTAAAGTCCTGTAAAATGATAGGGGGAACCCAAAAACGATATCCCTTCTTGCCGCGGGCTTGGCATGCTCCCCTGCTGGTGGCTTGCAGGTTTGTCCCTCAACACAGCATTGAGACATGGCTGGAGGACAGGCCTGTGCAGGGTCTTGTGCCCTGCCGTGCAGTCCCGCACTACACCGTTTCTGTCTCGGAAGGTCTACGTATGACTATGACATCTGAGATGCATCAGTCGTACCTATCCGTTTAGGCTCTTGGAAAGAACCTCGTGCACGAAATCGGGGTCACCCGCTGGTATCTGTTGGCCACATTTAACCTAAGCACAGCTTTTGACACGTTTGGACCTTGCATAGCACCCCGCTTTGAACAATTCGCATTGGCAAACGCCGTAAATGCCTTTTCAAGCTGCCTTCCTCGGCACAGCTGTTCCTTGTGGACGACACGTCAATCTGAGAATCATCGTCAAATCGTTCCTGTTCATAGAGCTGCTTTGGCGATGATCATCGAACAGCCGTCAACTGAGCGAGGCAGCAGAGTACAGGTTCCGCATCCTGGCGAGTGTTGCAGCCGGGAATTGCGGACCCCCGTAACGGTAGCCGCGCCAGGCTACGCATAGTCAGCATAGATCACAGTGGGCGGCTCGCCGCGTCACTGTCTTTGAATTTGGCCCTTCCTTCAATGTCGCTGCAGCTGTTTATCATCCATTATGTTTGTGTGTCAAGTGGTCTTCATACCGTGGATGGGCTGTGTCGGGAATGCTCGCACCTCCATAGACCTCACATTCGCTTTGGCTGGAGGAAAAGCTTTGCGAGCATGTATCGCAAGCGAGATCGTTGGATGTAGGCAAAGTTTCATCGGAGACTCAGATCCGGCAGTCTGTCGATAGTTTCAGCAGAAATCGAACTGAGAGCCCATGAAAGCAGAAGATGCTGCCATTTGGGAGCAGCAGCACGGCTGTAGGTCTCAGCTTGCAGCTCAAGCCCAGTCTTGCGACTGGAGCCAGCGACTGAAGCGCAAGCAGGCAGCAGTGAGCACCCAAATGGCACACAACATCTCGTCGTCATGCCCATTGATATCAACTGGCTGCGTGCTGACAGGCCTGACCCCTGACTAAGGTTTAGACTTTTCTGCAAAACCAATCGCCGTGCATCGGCTTCGATTGAAGAAAATCTGTGATCTATTGACATCGAATCAAACATGCTAGGTCCGGTGACCCGCAGCGTGTGCGCCAAGCACAGCACAAGCGTTTCAAGCCGAATGCAGATACGCCACTCGGCTCCGAACAACCCGATGTCATAACTCGAGACTCTGACCTCATCTTTGCCAATTAGCAACCTTATCTCTTCAGAGCATTTTCACACCGTCGCAGTAGTAGTAGTAGTAGCAGCAGCAGCAGCAGCAGCCGTAGCCGTCGCCGCAGCAGAAGCCGCAGCCGTAGTCGCAGTCGTAGTCGTGGTGGTGATGGTGGTGGTAGTGGTATTAGTACTAGTAGCAGCAGTAGCGGAAGCAGAAACAGACGCCGCAGCTGTAGTAGTAGTCGGAGTCGTGCTAGAATTGGAAACGTCGTTGTCGTCGTTGACGTAGTACTTGTAGAAGCAGCAGTGGCAGTCGCAGTAGCAGAAGCAGTAGCAGCAGCATTAGCAGCAGCAGCAGTAGCAGTAGCAGCATTAGCTGTTGTTGCTGCTGTTACTGTTGCTGTTGCTGTTGTTGTTGTTGTTGCTGTTGTTGTTGTTGTTGTTGTCGTGGTTGTGGTTGTGGTTGTGGTTGTGGTTGTGGTTGTTGTTGTTGTTGTTGTTGTTGTTGTTGTTGTTGTTGTTGTTGTTGTTGTTGTTGGTGGTGCTGTTGTTGTTGGTGGTGGTGGTGCTGCTGCTGCTGCTGCTGTGGTGTTGGTGTTGATGCTGTGATTGCCGGTGTTGGGTTTTGGAACGAATGTTGGCATTGTTGTTGGAGTTGTCATTGGCGTTGTTGTCGTCGTCGTTGTTGTTGTTGTTCTTGTTATAGTTCTGGTTGCATGTTGTTGCTGTCGAAATAGGTGGTGATGGTGGTGGCGGCTTGGTCTTGTCCTTGGTGTTGCTCGCACTGTTGGCGTTGTCGTTTTTGCTGCTGCGGTTGTTGTGTTTTGTTTCTGCAGTTGTTGTCAACTGTTGCTGTTGCTGGTGGTTTTGGTGTTGTTGTTGTTGTTGTTGCTGTTGTGTTTTCTTCTTGTTCTTGTTATTGTGTTTCTACTTGTTGCTCTTGTTGTTGTTATTGTTGTTGCCGTTGCTGTCGCTGTCGCTGTCGCTGTCGCGATCGCTGCTGCTGTCCCTGTCACTGTGGTGGTTGTTGTTGCTGCTGCGGCTACTGTTGCTGTTGATGTCACTGTTGCTGTCGTGGCGGTTGTGGTTGTGGTTGTGGTTTTTGTTTGTGTTGTTGTTGTTGTTGTTGTTGTTGTTGTCGTCGTTGTCGTTGTGGTTGCGTGTTTCTCTTTCTTGTGCTTCTTATCGTTTTCATGTTTTTCTTCTTGTTTTCTTGTTGTCCGAATAGTTTCTCTGCGCTGTCGCCACCGAATTAAGAAACAGGAAGGGGAGCAGGAGGAGGAAGGAGGAGGAAGGAGGAGGAGGAGGAGCCGGAGGAGTGCACCGGCAGAAGCAGACCATGATGTTCAAAGTATTAAGCTCTGTCTGGCCTAAAGATAGTAACCAGGCTCGTGGACGACGTGCTCGAGCTGGACCAGTGCCTCAGATAGGATAGTAGAGAGCCCAAGTTTCCTTCCTACAAGCATTGAACCAGGTCAGGCAAAGTGTCGAGGAGCTCCGACACCCGACTCGCTGTCACTGCGGAGCTAAGGTCTTGGCGGGAGAAAACGACTTGCAGCTCGCCAAAGGATACGGGTAGGACCGTTAAGCTTGAACACAGGTATGCTTCTTCGTGGGTCGGAGCTTGTGCGTTTTCAAACATCACGGAAGCTTCGGTTCATCCGGCTAGCAGTGAGGAGCAGAATTGAGCTTTCCAGGGGCTCGTGGGTAGCATAGACCGAAAGCGGGCATGATGTTCTTGCACAGCCTGAATGAACAACTGACTGCCGGGTTGCATGAGCACAAGTTGAAGCCGGGCGGCACGAAAAGGGGTGTAGGACTGCACACGGTTTAGGCTATGGGCAACCAACATTCCAGGCAAACTGCACGGGCATCGTGCTGTCAAGCAGCCTGTGGTGCACAGCAAAGGTGCAAGGGAGCTGCAAACGCAGTTGAACAAGCTGCAGAAGGAGCGCTTGCCACACGGGATTAGCTGAACCCCTGCTTCATATTCAGCACGCATGCCTCAAGGATGTCATCGCTGAGAAGAAGAAACTTAAGCAACCCTGCGATTCAGAGCTCAAGCAAGCCGGCTTACTTCGAGAACAGCTAAAGGAGCTTGAGTTGCCGGCTCAGCTGCCCTAATAGCAGATTGCTCAGGAGCATACAGTTGCAATTATTCACCCCCCTACCATTGATCATCCTTCACTAGCGAATTCTGGACCTGAGGCTGCAAGCACAGCAGTGTGAGACCAAGCGAGATGCAGCACTTGGCAAGCTTGGCAGCTCGTAAGCAGCAGACATGAACCGGCTATAGAATGTGGCAGCTAACCCACGTGGACGAGTAAGGCAACTTTGTGGATCTGTCCGTGCCGATTTCGCAGAGTGAAGTTGACAACGAGGCCCATCAGAGATGCAAACAGTCGGGCGAATATCAATTCTAAACACGCTTCATTCATCGTTCAGCTGAAATCTGAATCAGCTCTTCCTTGCCAACTTCTTCACAGAAGGTCATCAGCACGTGGCCGTCTGCGTCCGCAGAGGACACGTTGCTTCACTGCGTTCTTCGGAGTCAAGAATGATGAAGCGCCCTCCTGAGGAGTATCTCAGCCATGACAGTGGGAGGACGTCCGTTTCGAGCTCCTGCTTTTTGCGGTTTCCTCTCTGAGTGCCCAACTTTGAGGGCAAATAGACATAAGTTCTGGGATAGCGACAATGGGAAGCTCCTGATCCATGCTGCATGGCCCGGGTCTGCAGAACTTGTACTCCTTGCAGGAGGCTTCTCAGCCATGAAGATCTACTATGGCGTGAAATGTCTGCAGAGAGACACCAGCAAAGACCCGGTGTCGCAGCGGATCCTGCTTCTTTGTACTTATGGTTGCTTGCAAAGGCATTGGTGGCTATGACCCGGAACGAGGGTGCAAGGTTGCAGGACTGCGATGTCACTTGTGTGATCGCCTTGATCAGTTTCGGAAGTGTCAGGAAGCCGGGGGTATTTTCTCGAAGATACAGGCTGGGCAATGCATCCGTTGTGCAGTTTGCAAGCTGGACATCCTTGCAGTCCTGGCAGGGGTTCTGCTGAGCCAAGCCCTGGTTAGCTACGGACTGGCGTTTCTTCGTGCTCGCTGCTTGACCTGAACCAGGTTTAACATGGCGTCATCGTCGTGTATAGTTGTAACACGACGCACTGCCTGAGGTGGGTATCGAGCTGTGCAGCCGCCGTATTTCATGAGGAGACTTGGCCCGAAAACCCAGCTTTACAAGTTGGCGAGGTGAGAATATGCCTTCCAACACTGCCCAACATAAGGAAGGACCTCATGGCTGGAGTTGCTCAGCTCGATGACTTTGACCAGCAGCTGTACAAAGTTACAAAGGGAGAGCAAGGACAGGACGGCAACGTGTTTCCGATCGTTCGCGGAAACGTCGCCTGTGGGTGTGGAGCAGGAGATGCCACAGAAGAGGTGGATAAGGTTGGGAGTCCAAGTGTGTGATGCCTCCAGTCACGTCCAGCTATCCGGCGATCCTGATCATCTGGAACACCGCTGCAGCTGAAATGTTTCAAGCTTGACCCTTGCAGTATCTGATCGCCACATCGGAGCAGCCGCTGTGCGCTTTCCATGCGACCCTTGGCTCCCATTACGACCGGATGATTGCAACCTGGAAGTCACGTGATCGTCAGATATTGCTAGCATGTCCATCAAGCTGACCTGAACCTCAGGAAAGAGGTGCTCAATGCAGAAGTGCTTCCTTTGCGCTATGCCGGAGTGTCCACCTGCTTTCGGACCCGGCTTTGAGCTCCCGTGTCATTGAGGCATCAGCTCCTTGAATTGAGCAATCCTGTGTGGAGGACCGAGCTCGGCAAAGCTGGCAGGGAGAATCGAGGAATCTTCCGTGTGCATCAGTTCGAGAAGGTGGAGCAGTTTTGTATCACTGCTGGTGATCCTGAGCTGTCGGAGGAAATGCTACCTGATTTGAGGCAATAGCTTCGCACACATACTCTGACACGCCTGGTAAGAGGATTGCGACTGCGACTCGCAAGCCCAGGCACTCGGAGATGCTGCGCTGCGCGGAGGAGTTCTACCAAAGTTTGGAGATTCCACATCGACCCTTGGCCCCACTGCCGAGCTGAGACTCCTTTTGCTGGGCATCTGTTTCATCTTAGTTGCTGTATGTTGCTGTATAGTATTAGTTGCGAGTTCCTTGAGGTGTGGTGAAAGTGGTGTCTGGAGAGCTGAACGATGCCGCTCGGAGCTCAGCAACGACTCTGCATCAGCGGCTTTCTTGTGCGATCCCACTGCGATGACCCGCGAGGCCACCATGAAATATGACTTGGAGGGGTGGTTTGCAGGGCAGGCGGCCGTCATGTCAGAACGCAGCCGCTGTCATTGGCTGCTCCGCCGCTGCTCCTTTTCAGGGGCAGTACCGCGAGCTCGTCTCCTGCTCGAACTGCACCGACTTCCAGTCGAGAGCCCTTGACATTCGATATCGGCCGGCAGACTCTCAGACTCAGGACCCAAGTATGAATTCCTTCTGGCATACTCCCGTGTGGCAGTCGCAGGACAAGCAGCGTCCGCGCCACGTGCACATGCTCAACTCGACATTGACAGCTTCAGGCAGGTGCTTGTGTTGCATGTTGGTGGCTTGGACGCATTTAGGCACTTGCGCTGCCTTCCTGGCCTGTGTGTTGTCCATCGGCACTAATTGTATTCCTTTGCGAGGAAGCATTCCAGACACCCGACGGTCGGGCACTCAAAACCAGGGGCGTAGAGTTTGTTTCAGCCGTGATGTGGTCGAGCGGACAAGCAGCAGAAAAAGAAAATAGAGGGCTTGGTTTGGCAGGGGAAGCTACAAGTACTGTTCGGCGACCAGCTGCCCCAAGCCGAAATTGCAAACATCAATAAGAAATGCTTTGCCTCTGGTGTTCTAGCCTTGTTTTGCTAAGGTGTTCGAGTTCCCAGCGTGCTTGTTCCGTTTACAGGACTCAACGTTATGATGCTGCTCGGATTGGTTGCTGTCAGAGTGAGTGACCGGAGTTGCAGCCATGCATTCAAGGATGCTCATCAAGACGTTCGCGAGCCCTGCAGGAGGCATCGACTTTCTGCCCTTTGTACGGGCACCCCGACAGCTCGGCACTGTTGCCAAGACCGGCGTGGAGGAGGGGGAATGCGGGTGCTTTGAACCCTCAATGCAACATGTGGTGGAGATTCACAATATTGCTAATTAGCTTGTGCACCACAGCTGACCAAACCTGTTGTGCATCGTGATGTGCGGCGTGAAATGCATTTAATATGAGTTGGTAGGCGCCGGTGACGGAGGGAGAGCCGAAGCCCAAAAGCCGCGGTCGGATCCAGGAGCATTGCAGCAGCATGATGCCGTAAGTACATTGGCTGCAGAGGGTATGTTGCGGACGAACGAGGAGCTTGAAGAAAAACTCCTGCACCACCCTTACGCGACGCGGCTGCAAGACAAGACCCCAGCAGTATGTGCTTTGGGCAAATCTGTGGATTAGTTGATACATTGCAGATGCAACCGAAGGTCACAGGATTTCAAGCTTCGATGGCGGACTTGCATGCAATCAACTCCATACAGGACGAGGACCTATCTGCGCAGCTCGTCAGGGGCATTGAGTTACGAGTTTCAGTGGACGCAGTGCTCCGGGGCTCGTTTGTGTTGGAAATGCCGTTTGCGACGATCTGTGTGAACAATCGCACCCTTGTCGCCTTGCAAGCCTTGCAGACAAGGTATCCGAATGTTCGACGGTGGATGGAGCACATGCGTTCGTAGCTGGATGGCAGTCATTACTGCAACGACTATTTCATTGCCGCGGTCATGATCTAACACGTGTAAATTCAAGTCCTTGTCTCGGACATGTACCTTCACGAGGGGTAGGATATTTAGTGCTTTGCCAGCAACCTTAACGGCTTAACAACAGTTGCAAGGGACACATGATGGCACATGAGTCACAAGGCAACGTGCTCCCTCACGGGCAGGTTCAGCAGCCATGAGCTCGCCCTCTTGAGCTGAGAGGCTGTGCCGTGCGGTCGCGCCATTGCAGCTGGTCCGACTATACCACTTTCGAACAATGGTCGTTGAGATCGATCGCATCATATGCATCTCTGTGTACTACCGGTAGAGGTGTCAGGACCTTCAGCTCGACAGCTTCTATTCGCAGAAGCGTGTCGGGCGCTTTCGGAAAATGCCTTCAAACACACACACACACACACACACACACACACACACACACACACACACACACACACACACACACACACACACACACACACTATTCTGCAAAGGTAGCTTTGAAGCGGCGTCAGCGGCCCCGACGTTGTCGACAAGGAGTCATTCTTGGCGGATGATGTTGAAGACGAGTGCGCTGGCCATGGTGAGTGCTGGATCAAGACGACTCCTGTCTGCGGCCGGTGCGGAACTGCAAGAGCAAGACAGACAGTACCGCAGACTCTGTGTGCCTTTCATGCATAGAAGCATTCGTTATTTCAAGATGAGCTCCGGTGGTCCAGCAGAGAGATAATGGCTCTGAAGCAGCAGGGCGTCAGGCACTGATGTAATTCAAGCTACAAAAGCCATCTGATATTGGGCCGTCTAAGGTGCACGCAAGATTGCACCGATGGCTGCCCGATCCGATTGTTTCCCTGGGCAGCTTCTTGTCCCTCGAGTTCCTGCAGCTCCACAAATGCTGCTTTCGGACAGCTGCCAGATTTAATGCAACATAGACTTGCCCTTAAATTCTGGCAAGGCAGAGGCGAAGTGTTTCGATGCGGAAGGGATGTTCAGGAAAAGATGTGTCTTGCACGAGCAGGCATCAGGTGCAGGCACTGTCACAGCCTCAGCATGCTTTAGATATTCAGACCCTGAACGTCGACGATACAACAGCAACAAAAGACATTGGTAATGGGACAGACATCATGTCGCAGCACGGTACTGACATGTCACATGAGCAGCACATGCTGCACTTTCTCGATGTTGCTGCCGGCGGTCATATTCTTGCCCGAGTTTTGCACGGTGGGAAGATAGCAGTTGGCTGAGAAGAGCCTGTATCCGGTCATGACCTCGGCAAGGGCAGCTGATTCGACTGAGAGAGTAGGTGCGTGTGTGCGCGCTCTTGTCGCCTGGTGTCCCACCCCATGAGGTTCAGCATGGGTGACGAGGCTGGGCGACTGCACAACCAGCACCGTGTTTCCGTCCCGTTCACTCGAGGTAGGTATAGCCAGCGTCTTTGCACTGGCAGCGCTTCCAGTGCTTTCTGCGACATGGCCGGCAGGGGAGCGACATCGAGGAAAGTCAGGGCCAGCGCAAGGCCGAGGCTGGACCGCCATGGGTACACGAATGGCCGAGTAAAGTAAGGGCAGAAGAAGTGGCGGCTCTTATTAGTTGATGGTTGTGGTCGTGGTGGTAGCTGTCTTCGGTTGAAGCAGGAATACTGTAATAGTAGTGGGCGTAGCAGTCGCAACAGCAGGCCTGTAGGAAGAAGAAGATGCAATAACAGTACGAGTGTAGCTGTCATGATACAGGTGGTGATAGCAGTAGCAGTTGCAGTAGAAGCAGACGCAAAGGCAAACCTAGTCCTCACGGTAGCAGTGGTGCTTTTCGGAAGAGTAAAGCAGTGCTAACTATGCGGAGTAATCCATAGAAGACTTGGTCGAGGCGAGGGGGATGGAATGGAGGAGCACAGGGAACCGGCATAAAGAACGCGCATTCATAGAGGGAGCAGCATCCATAACGGATGCCACAGGAGCGATAAAGAGGGAGAAGCGACCATGATATGGAGAAGCATTCGCGACGGCCACGCACAGGTGTGTCGATGTAAAATTCGTAACAACCAGATATGAAACTTTGAAAATCATGGTGAGCACTCATGACGGGACTCCATACTCAATGGCAAAAGCATTGCTGAAGCAGCCCCAGTGCACAAGGGGATAGGAGCCGATGTTGCGTGAACGCCCGGAGCCTAGGAGTGAACTCCTTTAGCATGTCAACGGATGCATGGTCAGCGTGTGGAGGTGATTCCAGATGCAGTCGATCATTTCTTGGGAAGCTGCATAGCTGCACTGTCAGCTCCGGAAACGGGTTTTTCTGTTGTTTCAGGACAGATCCGCTCTTTGCCAAACTCAGGACTGCTGGACTCGATCAAGTACTGAGCTTATTCTGAGTTCAATCAGTGACTTCCGACAGACGAACCACAGCGACGTTGACACACCTCAAATCTTAAGGTTCTGTAAGTCAGTGCGTTAGCCTGTACGAAGGTCCAGCAACATTCCCGACATCAACAGGCTCTACGACGCTCAGCTCCATTAAACCTGTGTGGTCTGCTGTCGAGCTTGACAGTGAAATGACGGGCGAGGCCAGTTGCCAGCACGGAACTTCGGACGAAATTGTGCCAGCTGTTCTCGCATGCAGCCAAGGAAACAGACTTCAATCAGCTCACCGAGAAATACTACAACAAGACGAGACTTGCCCTGATACATTGAGAGCATCAAGATCGCCTGGGTAGATCTGTGCCTGGCCTGGCACACCCCTCAACTCTTTGTCGATCAGAGGAAGTGGCCAAGTGCCTATGCCGTCGCAGACGCTCTCGGACATGGGGAGGCTCTGTTCCTGATTCTTTACAAGGACAGGAACTTGCTTCGCATTCCTTTCCGTTTGTGCTGCCACTCCGAGTCCTTCGCAGGAGCTGTACTACCGACATATCTACGCCAGACTGAACCCAGTCCTCTTTGAGGACGCGCTGTGGTGACTTGAACATTTGTCGCCTCCGCAAGGTTTTGGCCGGCTCTAAACGTTCGCCTGCATTCGGCAGGACAGAATTGGTTCCTGGAAAAATTATACTCAGCTCCTGGATTTGATGATCGAGAACCTCTCGGATGGAGAGGCAAATGACTGAACTTGGAATGGTGGCCTTAAAAAATCATGCTGACAAAACGGATTCGTTGAACCTCTTGCGATCACCAAATCAATGAGAGGATCTCGGGATTGCGCTACCAGCGCAATGGCTGTGGGACATCCTGGACGAGTTTGTGTACCACTATCAGCCCAGCGCTCAGCGAGTAATCATCGGTCAAAGCAGCCACTGTCATGAAGAAGACTGATGTTGCGTCTCCAGTTTTGTATGTGGGTGGCAGGACGTACAGCACATACTGCCACAAGGCGGCCAAGCTGCAGAAGGCCAGGTGGTACCGATACGCGGTTCATGATGAGCTTGCAAGACATGCTTAAGCGATGCAGGAAGCAGATGTCAAGCAGCTAGTTGACAACCCTGCTGTCTTCGAGACCACGAAGGCATGCAGCATAAAGCCAGCTTCTTGTGCATCAGTCAGTGAGCCATGCTCCTGAAAGGTCCTCAGCTACCTGCACCAGCTTGTGCGCTACTCGTTGATTGAGGAGTGGCTCGCCAATCCAGATGGAGGTAATGGACAAGGCAGCTGGAAATCTCCAAGCCATGTCGTGTGTTCTGCACGTGCAGCAGCGTCGAGTCGCGGTCGTGGCTCGTTTGTGAATGCAGGTGCCGCCTTCACAGCTTTGGGCTTATGAGAGTGTGGCTGCGTGGCTGTGCTTGTCACATCTTGTCACCCTTGCGGCGGTCGGGGTTTGTGGTGTAGCGCCCAGGACGAGTCGACACGACTGATCGGATATTTCGCCCTGATGCAGCTGCTGCGAATGCACAGCCTGCTTGGAGACTACCGCCTTGCCATGGCTGCTTGGCTTCGCTCGTGCCTGTCAGGCAGGGTCAGGCGAAGCAAAGCTGGCAGGATTGGACAGGTTGGGGTGCTTGGGTAAATTCTGTAAGCAATATTGCACATTCTCGCCCGCTTGATGCCCTCCTACCTAGGAGACGATTGAGACCATCGACTTCCGAGCAGAGGCAGCTCGGGAGAGTGGAAGGAGCCAAGCTAAGCAAAGACCCTGCGACAGAAACTGAAGAAGTCGAAATGGCCCAAGCGGCTCCGGAAACTGCAAAGCCTGAGCCACGCTGTGTGTTGTAGCAGTCCAAACACTGGTCGGAAGATGCCGCAGAAGAGCTTCAGCGGAAACGTTCAAAGAAGTTCAAAGCCTGTCTCCTGCGGCACGGGACGTTCTGTGGTGAAGCCAGTTGCACGTAGAGCATCATGCTGAACTGCAGCTTCTGGACCTGTGCGAGGTACCGCTGTTCTACAGAATTCCGGCTTGCCATGTCACAGTGTTTTACTACATGGGCTTTGCGTGCGCCTGTTTCTGTTGGGTACCCTGGTGTGCTTTAATGCGAGTGGCCAGCATGCCATACTAGGTACATGATGATGCGCCGCTATGTGGATGCATCCCGCACATTCCAAGACATTCTTGTCTTCCTGTCCAAAATCTCCACAGTGAATTCGCTTTCCTACCAGTATGATCAGATGCTGAAGAAGCAGGCGCGTCAACAGCATTCGCTCTTGTGCCAAGCGCAAAAGCCCATGTGTGGTCGTGTCACGGCGTAACTACACCGTTTATGAGGATCAGATGTACGTCCTGCTGCTGATCTGCAATGCTCTTTGCCCCCAGCCGCTGGACGAATCTCTCGAAAAGCCAATCCGAGAAAAGCACGCAGGCGGAGATTCAAGACTTTGCTGTTACAAGCTGCAAGAGTGCAAGAGTAAACCGAGCTGCGCCGACGTTCCGTCCTGATGCCCTGCAGATAAGCAGATGCGCTTGCAGCAGGGCAATGAAGCTTGCTTCGAGGAAGCCGGGAAGAGCAAAGCCAAGCGGCTAAATTTCTTGCTGCTACCATTACTACTACTACAACTACTACCAACAATAATAACAACAATAATACTAAGAATAGTAACAACAAGAAGAATAACAATACTTGTAGTAATAGCAATTGGCAATAACAATAGCAACAAGAACAGTTTTAGTACAGGAGCATAATAATAAGCGTAGTTATAGTAGTAGTAGTAGTAGTAGTAGTAGTAGTAGTAGTAGTAGTAGTAGAAGTAGTAGTAGTAGTAGGAGTAGTAGTAGTAGTAGCAGTAGCAGTAGTAGTAGTACTAGTACTAGTACTAGTACTAGTACTAGTACTAGTACTGGTACTGGTACTGGTACTGGTACTGGTACTGGTACTAGTACTAGTACTACTAGTAGTAGTAGTAGTAGTAGTAGTAGTAGTAGTAGTAGTAGTAGTAGTAGTAGTAGTAGTAGTAGTAGTAGTAGTACTCACTCACTCACTCACGCGCGCAGCAGAGGTTCGTCCGCTAAGCGAAGTCGGCACACGTATTGTGCGGAGGCTGAGGCCTCGTGGCTTGTGCCACCCATCCTAACCTGACCGCCCCTCGGGGCCTTGTTGGGACACCGCAGCTATTGGAAGAGAACCACAGAGTAGAACACACGAGTAGAGTACAAAAGTTGAAGCTGCGGAGCCCTAGGTGTGCGTCAGGCTTGAAACTGATTTGAGCAGAGAGCCCGAGCACTTCTACAAAACTAGGTTGTTAGGTCCTTAGGTTGTACAGTGTCAGGACGAATAACCACAAGGTAGGCATTCTCCTGAGTAACACGAGCAAGATCGCGGCTGGGGGGAACAGAAGAAACACCATCATCAGTAATCCTGACACCGCCATCCGCTTCGAAAAGTAGAGTCCTGTAGTGGCCAGCTCGGGGAGAATCACCCAAGTGAATGATCACGGCACTGATGATGTAACGAGCAAGCACTACAGAGCCGTTCTGCCAGGTAGGAACTTTCAGTCCCCGTGAAAGAGCTACAGGGATCCTAGACTTCCGTACGCGGCCGCCTTCAGAGCTGAAGCGATTCAGCTGCAACACTGCACAGGCTACACCTGAGGCCAGAGTTGGGTTTCCTGGTAGGTGGTGCCATGCATGGATGGCTGCTTGCAGAGTACGAACTCCGCGGGTGCATGGAAGTGTATCAAGATCACAGTGTAGCACTAGAGGAGACACAGTGCCACAGTCCTCAAGCTGGCCTCGATTTAAGATAGCCCATGTCCCTTGCAAGACTGAGAACTGACAGGCCTGATGCAGGTGGCTGAGGAATTCAGCAGCGTCCTGTTGCCGTCCCGTGTCCGGCCAGTGCCGTAACCTCCTTCGCCAGACAGGTCTTGACCACACATGCACAGGATGTGGGGTCGGGGCAGCTGTAAGGAGAGCAGTTATGTCCTCCTGCACGGAGGCTATCCTCGAGGTTTCAGCGAGACCTTGATGCTGGACAGAAGCCCAAGCAATTGCCATGAAAACAGCATTGGCGTAGCAATCGTTGGAATGATTGGCTAAGGCTAGCTGCTTTAGGTGCTGCAAGGGGACTGAAGTTTGCGAAGCTCCTTCTCGATCGATTGTGCTAGTGGCGAGCGACCCCTCTTGTCGCGACGAATCGTCGTCGCCACTAGCTGGAGCGAGGCGTTTCCAGCTAGGGCTTCCACTATTGTCCAGAATCTGTAGGCGCGGGATTCTCGGAGTCCTAGATGGAGCGAGAAGCTGACTGCCGTTCCTGCCATCTGGGGAGCCAGGCGTCTCATCGGATGATAATTGATGAGAACGCCATCTTCCTTGCACAGCACTATCGTTTCCTGAAGCATGCTCACGATCTCCGACAGGGTCAACGGAGCGACACTCTCGACTGGGTCGAGCCGTCGGTGGGCACGACTCCACTTCACGTACTTGAAGTTGTCCGGTTCCGTCAGGATGTTCAACTTGATGGCCTCTTGGCGACGTGCCTGATCTGTGGTCAGAAGCTGCAGCCGTTTCACCAACTCTGAGGCCCAAGTCTGCCAGAGAATGACCCTCAAGGGTTGGGTCACTGCTGTGGGGTTGGTGTCCTTGAGCTGATGCCATTCCGTGGCAATGGCCGCCTGAATGTCCACCGCCGTCATTGGTGGGGCCGTACCCTGAAACATGATCCATGTCGTCGATTGCTCGAGAGCGTTGATTGCATCGGCTTGCCTCAGGACCAGCTATGCTATCTGCATGACCAAGTTGGTGGAAACCATAGTCTTGGAGGGTGAACCTCCTGCTGGATGGGGTCCTTGACTGGGAGCCGGTGCTGCTCTGGAGGGAAACTGTCGCCTGGGCTGCTGCTGGGTCTGTCTGGGGCCCTTTCCTCCCTGGCCTTTGTCGTTCGGTCGTGGGTACTTGGAGGGCTGATCCATTTCCTCCTGTGGTGGTCCAAGGTTGGAGTACCCCATGGTCGAGGGGGCCAGCAGGGGGTGAGAGGGAACCTCCTGGAACGGAGGAATGGGGTGGGTGCCGGAGCCCGATGCTTGACTGGGCGTTGAGGATGGGACTCGAAGACTCGCCGACCCTGCAAGGCCATGGTTTGCAGGTGGGTCAGTTCCGCTGCTGCCTCCTCCAGCTCCTCCCTCGTGACACCCTCGAGATCCATTGGGCCTGCGGGGGAGAGGCAGAGCATGGGGGGAGATGGAAACCTGTATGAACTTGACCCACAGAAGCATTGCACACTCTGATGCATGTTTGGCCTGGTCACCTTTGAAGCGGCGTCCACAGTAGCGGCAGGGGGAGCTGAGGGCCAAACCCTTGCGAAAACACTGACAGTGCATTTTAGCGTGCGAGAGAGCATCCAGTGCCCACGGATGATGCGCCTTGACATGCAATGTGAGTCCTCTCGCTTGCACGAGCCACTGGTTGCAGATTGGGCAGTGCTGGTAGCATCGGGGATCTTTTTCCCGCAAGATACGGAACAGGGCCTCCCAACTTGCACTCGAGTTATGTCGCACTGTGGGCTGCCAGTAGGGTCCTAGAGCATTTGGCAAGGCCAGGCTGGAGATCGGGGTCTGGGCATCAGGGAACAGCACTGGGCATGATTTGGTAAAGATATGTATCTTAAGTTCATCCCATCTGGCACATTCCCTTCCACAGTGACGACAGACACACAGGCCATCCCTAGCGTGCAGCCAGGAAAAGCGTGTTTGGGGGTCAGCTTCTTTGAGACATTCAGGAAGATCGAGTTGCATACTAAGAGCGGTACTGTGGGCCTGCACCCGACGCCGAGTGAAGTGCTTCAGCCCCGGGGGCGGGGTGAGGACAGTAGGGTGGGAATCGTCATGAACTGTATTGCTGGTTTGGGAGGTGTCGAGTGGGGTGTTATCCATCAAAGTGGAGCAGGGGGCAGATGGCGGGGAGTCTGCAGGTGAGGTTGTTGCAGGCTTTTGTTTGCTCGGGGCGTGCGTGGTTGCTTCATGGACTCTGAGGGCACCGAGAGACTCGAACTGCTGTTGGCAATGCGGACAAGACAGGAGCCTGTAGGCATGTACACGGCGTTCACTGGCACATTGCCGGTTGCGCTGGGCGGCAGTTTCCGCGCCCATCTCAGGAGGGAAGTCTGGCGGACCTGAGTTTGGGATGTCTAGGCATGGTGGTGATTCTGTAGCAAGGGGATGCAGGGAGAAGGAGGCGGCTAGCTTGTGGCTCCACAGTTGGTGTTGAGGTGTTCGGTGTGCAGAAGTTGGCATAGCTCTGGTACCCGGAAATTGCTTACTCAGGGTCACCCAAGGGTCCTCAATCCCTAGTCTCTCCAGTATCTCATTGGAGGTCACGTGCCAGAGGTGGGCCGGGGAGCGGGCAATCATTCGTAGTTGCCGGTGCACCGCCTGGCGGAGTAGGAGAGGGCCTGCTTTGGGGAGGCCCACATGGTGGAGAGAATATCGTAGAACACTGAGGACGCAAGCACTCCACAGCCTTACCCGGGTGCGGAGGGGCAATGCCCTGCTGATAAGGATGGAGTGCAGGCGCCAGTAACTACCCCAAGCCGTGGCCAGGCGATGTTTTAAGTTGAGGAGCTCAAAACCTTGATAGGAAAGGCGGGCTCCCAGATATTTATGAGAGCTGACAACCTTGAACAGAATCCTGGACTGGCCTACGGGTATTTGGAGGTAGGTGTGGCCATCTTTGTGCACTCGATAACCTCCAACCACGGAGGAAGCGCTAGTGCCTGCTGAGGCCATGAGCAGAACCGTTTTCTCTAGGCTCAGCTCTAGGCCAACCCTTTGTAGGGTGAGTACGAGAGTGCCTATGGAGCGAATGGCTTCCCTGAGCGCCTCGGGGCTACGGTAAGTCCAGCTGCCAAAGAAGTCATCGGCGAACATGTTGGTCAGGCCTTCGGGAAGGGAGGCTTCTCGTAGGGCTGTCACGTATAGCCGGTAGACTCTGCGTGTTGCAAGGGCCCATAGAATTGGGGATAGGGAACATCCCTGTCTTACCCCAGTACCCAGGTACACGGAGGCTTTTGCGGCACCAGTGCCCACCTGAAGACATGCGTGGGAGTGTAGGTGGAGGATGAGGGAGATCTCCTGTTCACTAAACAGCGCCTCACGCATCGCTTCTGCCAAGAAACCATGTGATAAGCTGTCAAAGGCTTTCTTGATATCCAAGCTAATAGAGATGCCTCCTATGAGCTTTTGCGGCACACTGCCATGAAAACGTTGTGGGAGAGTCTGTGCATTGTCCTGTATGAGGGATCTGACATGGTGAAGGTGAGAGCAGACAGACTCCAAGGCATGAGCTGTGGACCGGCCTGGCAAGTACGCCCACTGCGGGACATCCGAGAGGTACGCGGCGATTTTGCCCTGAACCTGGTCCGCTATCATGGTGGCCAATAGTTTGTTGGCTGGGTGCAGCAAAGCTATGGGCCGGAGGGCTTTAGGTTCGCGGACTACAGCTACTTTTGGTATCATGTGCAGCTGAACTTGGTGCCATTCGGGTTCCAATTCCGCAGACTGTAGATTCATTGAGGGCAGCAGGGCTTGACAGACCTGCTCCGGGACGAGCTTCCATAGCCGAGCTGGTGCAAAGGAGGCTGGGAGAGCCTTGTTGCCTGCCATGCGACCAAGCGCTGAGAGGAGGTCGGCCTTGGAGAAGGTCATTCCATCTATGGGAGGATGTGAGGGCGGTGCTGTTTTGTGTTCGCT